CAGAGAGAACCACTACCTCATCTAGCTGTGGGTGCAATCAAACTACATCACCTTTTGGTATAAAAAAAATAATCTTCTCTTGACACTGTCTGCTTCTGTCGTAATCAACAAATTACAGATACAGCTGCATTTCTTCAAGTTTTGGTTGGAAAATGTAACTCTTTAATCTTGCTCACATCCTGGATTCTTTTTTTTAAACAATATTTAAATTGTATTTGTATTAGTATTGGCTTTATGTACAGCATGTGCCCATGCTACTGTAGTTTTGCTGCACTCTCTCTGCAGGAGGCTTTTAGCAACGGATCCACTGGGGAGTCAGAGCTCAAATCACACTGAGATAAACTGATAATTAGTTATTTATACATCATCTCTGCAAATCAGGCCACAGTGCCGAAACCAACGCAAACATAAAGGCAAATGGCAGCTGACTTTCTTTAATTTAAAATGTGATACCACCCTCAGTTTTGGCAGTTGTCAGAAAGGGGAATGGGGAGCTTGTTAGCACAGAGAGCAACAGGGGTGGCGAGTCCCACGTCTATAACATCATTTGTGCCAGAGGAACGCAATACATCCAAATTTCCCAGGGACTATAAAGGTAATACAAATTGGCTCAGCTAGCTGATGGAGGGTGGCCTACCAGCATCACATATGCTGCTGCTCATACTTGGGGCTTTTAAACTGGCTCTCATTTCACATTTTCTTAAAATGCGTTGTTAAATTTTGACACTCTCTTTTTTTTTGCTGTTTTGTAAACTCATCTGGAAACTAACTTCAGTAATCACAGTTTTGTATTTAAAAGCGTTAAATAAATACAGCCGACTTAAAGATCATTAAGGTTGAAACCCATATTGACAGACTGGAAAGGAGTCTACAGTGAATGTTGAAGGAAAGCTCATTAGAAGCTGTCCTGGGTGGGAGCTGGGAAAGAACCCAGTCTTGAACCCAGTAGCGTGATCACCCCTACTGGGTAGTCCGCTGCCCCACTTACAAAACTGGCTACAGCAGGTCTCAGGGGAACAATACAGGAAAAAAATAATAATAAATCTGTGACAGTAATTTATTTTTATCAAACTTTAAAATTCTTTACCCATTAGTGCTGCTGAAAATGCCTTTAGTCTCATAGCTTAAACAAATGTACTATTCCCTGCATTTAAAAGCCCTGCAAAAATGATCTGTGCTATTATTGACATCAATACCCCACGCTTTTAAAGACACAGTTCAGGCATTGCAATTACAAACTATTAAGGCTGTAAGAAAATATCGATATATGAATATCGCTAGGTTTTCTCTTGTTATATTGTATCAGTTCTAAAAAACACTATAGCAGTTTTTGTGTTTAATAAAAATGTCAACTTTGTTTTTATTTATTTTGAGTATTGTGGTGTGTTCTTTACACTATTTTACTAGTTTTCCTAAAATTATTAATATTATTATTAGTTTTTAATCGCAATACTTGCTTACAGTATGTCAATATATAAAACCTTAACCCCTGTATTGTGATATGTATTATATTGCCAGATTCTTACCAATACACAATACACAGCCCTACAGCTTACTCAACAACTGCAGTTGTTATCCATTATCCATCAGTGGTTAAGGGGTGGAAGAAAACTGTAAAAGTACACAGTTGCCCTATATCTCTGCATTATGTTCTTTTCTGTGAAGAAAGCCAAGTGAAACTGTAATTTTTCAAACTTTGAAGACTACGAACAGGCTCGTCCTGGATTAGAAATGTTGAAACAACAAAAGAGCAGACAGCAACAGAACCATGGCTGAGCATCAGGGAGAATAAAACACTCATTTTGTCAAAAAAGCAAGAGGATTGCATAATAAGTTCCTATAATATCAGGAAAAGTAATCTCTGATCAATATTCACAGGAAATAATCTGCTCAAAATTCATCCAAATCTCTGGTTTCACACAAACTTCCTTCAGTAAGTTGTTCTGTACTGTTATGCATTGAATATAATACGAAATATCCATAAAATATGTCACTTAGTCAGGGGTTATCTGTTTACTTGATAGAAAAGAGGTCCCCTAAGGAACAATGTAGAGAAACACATGGTCTACATCCCATCCATTTTTAAACAATAAAAGATCCTGACTTTATCAATGAAAATGTAATTTATTTTGAAGCCACTAACAACTGGAAAGTTACAAATTGAGCATCCATCCTCAGAACAGTACGCGCTTTAGATTCAAATGGGTTTTCAACCCGTGTGACTGTACAAGTGGGCACTCACCAACGAGATGAAAGCAAAGTACGCGGCCTCAGAATGTGTGAATCAATTTCAGACTGAAAAAGCCATTGCTGCTCAGCCTGCAGGATTAATGTACATCATGGCAAGTTCAGACTTGCCAGTACCATTGACCTGTGCAGGGCTGAACAGTGGAGTAATAATGGCATTGCATGGCAATTTTGAGAGGGATACGAGCAAAATTGCAATGTGTTTTCCATCTAATATACATGCTCTGTTTTGCAGGCTGGCTAACACATAGGAATATGCAACAGATAGAAAAAGGAATGAGCTTTGAGAGTGTAACATAGCAGAAACATGGGATTGTTACTGACATGCTTTCTGACTCCACAGCTTAAACATATATTCATCCAAATACAGCTTCTTTCTGCCACCTTTCTTCAAACAGGGTTGCAGGGTAGTTAAAGCTGTACATTGCTGTACAGCTTTGCATGTACATTGCATTCATAAAAGATTTATAAACTGAATCCTGTCAATCTGACACCAGTAATTATTATATCCATTGTTAGCATGGTGATGGACAGGCATCCAGAACCCAGATCAGCACATTATGGACCCCTGTCTGATTCACTTTGTCTTGCTGTCTCACTCACTCACTCCTCGCCTTACTTGTGACCTGCTGGGACCCGAAGGACCCCTGGGGATACCTGGACACCAGGTTATGTTATCAGCGCATATCAGTGCAAGGTTGCAGAAGAACTTCAAATGTCAAGGTTTTAGATATGACGTGTTGCTTTATCAAATAATGTCAGATAAGGTCTCATAACAGATTATTATTTGATCTTCGCAGCACAGCGAAAGTGTAGTGCAAGAGATTGTTAAACCGTTAGCCAAAGCTTACTGATATTAAGATTAAGTAGATATATATACTGATAGATACATGTCCTGTTGTTATACCACCTATACATGAAAACATCATGCATGTCAACTAGGGATGGGAAACGGGAACGATACTAAACCTAAACCCGTACCAGTTCCCGATTGGTCACTACAGAAATATTGATCAGCTCCTGGACAAACTGTTATTAGTATTTATTTAACATTACATAAACAGCTGACAGGGCAAAAAACATTTGAAAATGTTTTAATGAAAATACAGCTAAATGCAATAAACTGTTGAATCTTTTCATGTCATATCTTTATTTTGTTCTCCAAATGACGGCGAGTAGTATCAATAAGAGAGTCGATAAGTATTGGTATTGATAAGCAGTATCAGTATTGATATAATTATAACAACAGCCATACCCAATGTCAGCCTTTCAGATGTAAAGGTTGTTCAGGAAATCATATTTGATCAGATTTGATATCAGGAATTTGGTTCACTAGCATTGAAAGTGGAGGTGTAGTATTCATTTTAGGTAGTTAGGTATTAATTTAGTTAGGTATTAATTCACAAAGAATGCAGCATTTTGAATGATGGTATTTCATGATATGGTAAGATACAGGTGTCTGAAAAGCTGGTAGTGGTTGGTGCATCAATCCCTGAAGTATTAATACTACAAAGTATCAATACTAGCATCAATAGGATCAAAATAGGATAAAAAACTTTTTTTACACAGATTGTATGCTTATTGCGGTGACAGTTCTTTGACAGTTTTCCTAAAAGTAGAAAAAATCACAATATATCTATATGGTAAACCCTTTATCGTATCATACTGCCAGGTTCTTGCCCTAGTGATTAACAGAGAATATTAAAAAGAAATATGTCATGTTTGGCAAATTATTTGGTGGTAATGTATTTAGAAGTAAAATAGTAATTAATTATCAACTGATATCAGTGATCCTGGCCCTGGTATTACTTGGTATCAGATTTGTGCCACCCCATCACCATTCCTTCCTGGGTGGTAGCCTAGGCTGACCATAGCCTACGCACTGTTGTGGTATTTCTGCAGTTGACCGGACAGCTTTTACTCTGACCTCAAGTGAAAATACTGAAAATGACTGTCAGCAAGAAACAGCCAGGGAGAAAATGTCAATCACGGTGTCTAGACAGCCTCAAAAAGACTTCTTTCAAACTTATACCCACAGTCACATCCGTACAATGCCAATGCAACACTAACCATCAACAGTTAACACAGCTCCCATCATGCCCTGCACACACATCACACCTTGCCTACTCCGGGGTCACCAGACAAAATCCCTTCCTTTGGCCACTGCGATTATTGCTCATGTTACAGTGGACATTCCCGACAGCACTTGAAAGCAACATAAATCCTTCTGTGTCAGTTAAGCCTCTGAAGGCGCAGAGGAGGGGAAAGGTCACCGCAGACAATCTCCCATCTTGAGGAATTGCCAGTCAATCCATCCCTACCGCCCGCAGTGTTTACTCTATGTGTGCGTTTTCTGTCTCTTTACACCTGCGAGCATCTGCCGACCCCGTTTCTGCTCTCTCTCTCCTCCCTGAAACACACTTTTCCTCCCCTCCACCTTTAGTTCTGCACTGTCACACAACAATTAAAACCGCGAGTCTCTGCTCGTTAACAGCTGCTGGAGATTAGCAGAGTATCGTTTCTGGATGGAGTGTTTTCCAGAGACTAATCCTCTGAAATCCCCCCTTTTTTTTCTCCGACATGATAAAACAGACAACACTTCAGTCATGTTTCTGTTTCTCTGCTCGCTAAATACTTCAATTAGGAGGAGCAGCGCTCAACTTTGGGAATAGAACCGAGAGCGCAGCGGCGGCGCCTGGAGGAGGAGGAGGTGGAGGAGGAGGAAGGAGGAGGAAGAAAATGTGTTGACTCACCTGAGGAAGACTGTCTCTCCTTGTCGGACGGTGATGTTGTCCATCACTTTGTTGTCGGACTGAGAGTCCCCTTGGCTGCGGACCGGCAACCCTGCAGGCACAAGAAGCAAAATCCTCAGAGAGAGAAGAAGTGTGCATTTGGAAAAAGCGACAAAGTATCCCCGGACGGACATCGTCTTGAGCCTCAAGAAGTGTAGAAAATAAAAAAAATCCCACAGCCAGACAGAGTCGGTTTGCGTCCCCGTATAACGGTCCCTTGGAGATTATTTACCCCCAGTTCATTAGTCTTAATCCAGATCTTCTAGCCAGGTACAGCCGCGGTGCGCAGGGGGAGGAGGAGACACTCGACCCTATCTGGCTGCACTGTCAAATATCCACTGTTTATTGTTTGGGGGAAAAAAGGACACGAAAAAAATAATCCCTTCTCACAACGGAGGCTGCTAAGGTCGCTATTTCTCCACAAGTTTTTTTTTCACATATAAGTTTAAAAAAATCCTTCTAATAGGCTTTTGAACTATTCATCTGCAGCCTAAATGTGCCTCAGTACTGTAGGCGAACGACACAAAGACGCGAGAGTCATGTTCAAAATAAAAGAGAGCGATGGCAAGTTGGCGATTCGCACCGCCTGTCAGAGAGTAGTTTGTGTGTCGGGCTCTATATCAGCACCCTCCTTCCGCCTGCACACGTCACAGACGGACAGAGCGAAATGGATTCACGTTTGCCTCCAATATATAGGGAGAGAATAGCACTCATTGTAGGGAGTCTTTACAGTGCGTTTGCCTCTGGCGCCTCAACAGTGAGTTTATTGTTCCTAATAGCAATTTACATCTGTAATTTATACAAATTATATTCCATATTATACAATCCCCCATATGTTATTATACAGTATTTATCATAGAAATGTAAGTGAAACAATGCAAAACCCTCCAGAAAGTGGACTAGAAGCATCTGTAATAGGGCTGCAACTAACTCCATGTTACTGATTCAGTCTGAGGTCATTTGTTCTAGGGGTGGATCTAGAAAAATATTAATGGGGTGGCCAAGGATAGCAGGGTGATTTATGGATAAATATATACTGATTTAATAGCAAACAGTCGCATACATCCATATAATGAAGATATTTGAACTGGAACTAGAAACATTCCATTAATGTGGCACATTATCAAATCATTCAACAGAAATATCTAAAAGGTGGTATTTGAAATCACTACATTGTTGACAGTAATTAACTTGACTTAACTAACTCAAAATAACTTGTCATATTTGCTGAAATTATGGCTCCTCCTAGTGGTTCACTGCGCGAAACTAAACAAAAATAACCAGAGCTGAGAAATGTAGTTGACTGTTGAGTCTCATTCCCAGGGAACATTGACACTGGCAACAATCAACTATGTTCAAGCCATTAACCCAAAGTGTGTTTCTTGGTTCTGATTGGTTGTTTTCGTCCAGGCCCATGGATTCTTGCTAATACCATTAGGAGCACTAGGAGGAGCCAGAGGAACCAAATTTTTTCAGATTATCTGTCTCATGTACTACTGTCAGGATATACCAAAAAGTTATGTTTCTAAAAGTTACCTACTGCAGCTTTAATTATTTTTAAAATCAATTAAAATTAATGACAGCATTTGACACCAAGTGGGATGGCAGCTGGAGTGGCCAGGCAATTTGTCTAGATCCATCCCTGGTTTCACAAGATATTATAAATTAGTAAAAAACAAAATGATAATAATTTTCAAAAGCCAACGCTGACATATTCAAATTGCTTGTTTTCTCCAAGCAACAGTTCCAAACCACAAAAGATTTTGTCTTATCATCAACTGTGAAAACCAGCAAAAACTCCAGAACCAGAGAATTTCTGGCATTTTCTCTTAAAACATGATTTAACGGATAAATCAATTATAGAAATAATTGTTGATTAATTTTCCCTTGCCTGTGCTGGCTAGTAATCCCACATAGCTGCAAGGGTCTTCATAAATTCACATTCAAATTCACAGAAGTCCACACACCGCCCAGATTATGCTACCTATGTACCAGCATGCTGACCGCTGTGGTACATAGACAAAGGTCTACTGTTTCTCACGGAAAAAGGATACAAGTTGAATTTTTGTGAAATAAAGCTGAGTGCGATAGCATCTATTGTTTAGCCAATTGTTTAGCAGACCCCAAAGTTTTTTTGAGTTGATTTTTCTTTTTTCTTATTTGTTACATAATTAGAATAGATATATTATAAAATATCCATTTCATTATATGAAGTATACAGTATAAGTGCATATTTCAGTTTCAGGGTCCTGCTGTTGTTCATGCTCTAGGTGTAAGTGAATGTCTGCTGAGAAAAAGGCCTATCATGTGGATCCCTTACAAGCAGAGGAGTGGGACCATGTGACCAAACAATTTTCTTAAAGGCACAGAACAGTCTGTAGTTTATGTCCCGGACAATGAATATTTTAAATGTTCCTAGAATGTAGAATTAGTAATAAAGATGGATCACGCCAACAGTGCGTAAATGTATTCCTTAGACAAAAAATGAAATCATGTCTTTATTAGCTGCTGTAAGATGAGCAGTAATTAAATCAAAGCAGCCATTAAAGTCAGAGAGCTCTGTCAAGGAGCTACATGACCCGAGATGTATTGTTGTGGACAATGCGGCCATTAAATATCAGTGTTGTTAATTCATATCTCATTTATTTATTATTGAGCAATAAATCACTGTGAGAAAGAAAACAATGTTTGCAGGAATCAAACTTGTAGTCGAAATGCTCTTCCTTTGTCTCATTCACACATGCATATATTATGTTTCACAATTCACACTTTTCATTTCCAATTCCTATTAAGTTAATTTTTAGTCTGAAGCAATGCTGCTTGCCTGAGATGACTGTATGCACAAGCATTTGAAAACTGCTGAACATTTACAGATTGTTGTTCTGTTGGGATATACTGTATATATAGAAGTACATCAGGCTCTCTCAGTGCAATCAATGCTTGACTACTCTGATTTCATTTTAACAACCTCTGAGGACTACAGTTCACGTAGTACGCAACACCTGGTGGTATGAAAAGGGTTACAAACTTGTAAACAGGCCGAACCTTTTTTTTTTCTTGAAACAACTGGATTCTGACACTGTCCCATTTTTAGAATGCTCATGTCAAAGTGGTAGAGAGGGCCCAGAAAGACAACATTTTGGCATGAAACCAGGCAACACGAAGAGCAGAGGTTCATTCTCATGACCTCTGTGACCTGTTTTCATTGTACAATCACAAAATGTTCAACAACCCAAATCTCTCGCCTGCTCTCAGGCTTACACAACACAGCAACAGACCAGCTCTGATTTTCCACCTGGAGACTTACACCAACATAAACAACACACAGTGAGCAGGTGTAAGCTGTGCATCAAGATGATGCTGAGAAAAAGGAGAAAGAGACAAAATGGTTGTCATGGCAGCACTTTGGAATCACTTGGGAATCGCACAAGAGAAGGGAGGTTATGTGCTTAATTGTAAATTACTTCAGATTAGTAACCAATCTACATAGTGAATTGGGCAGGATGTGATGCCCAACATAAGGAAGAGGGAACTACTGCAGTGTAGGTTTGTAAGCATGCAGGTGAACTGAACAGACTAAGCTATGAGTCACAGTCTCTATAGGTTCTTTGTCTAATACTCATACAACAAAGTCACTGCACCAGTTTGCCAGCTTACAGCAGCAGCAATATTTGATACAGTCTGGCAACAACAGGGATGTCAACTGTCATGTAAATTGTAGGCTATAAGGTGTTTGTATGATCTGGCCTTTTTTTTTTTACATTTGTATAATTTATTAGTTAATTTGGGAAGTTGTTTTTAATCTGTAATCCCTGGGCATATGTCATAAAGTCACCCTTAAAACTGAACATAAGATTAAAATTATGAGGTTATTGAGATCATTTGCAAGCAGAGCAATAATAAAAAGAAAAGAGAATATTAATGTTCATAAAAAAATCATACAGCACCATCATACACCGTTATACTATTATTATTTATATGTTAGAAAGAAAGAAATATGGGCTAAATATAATAGGAAAGTCCTGCATTATTAGATGCAAGGTATGAAATACATTTTCACATTTCACTTTGGCAAACTAAAAGCAAAGCCACAATACAAGACTAGCATTCAAGTCCATAAGGACAGGATTGTGATAGGTGACAGGAGGGCAGGTTCACAGCACAGACAGACTGAGGGCAGCAGGTGTAATTGATTTTTGGTGCTGACAGAGCTGAGTGCTGATTAACCATTTCTTTAAATGAGCTCTAAATACACTGTATCTGTCCATCTCTGTAATAGATAGAGTTCCTTACTAGTGCGGCTTTAACTGAGAACACAGACTGACTGGAAGCACTTTTTCTCAGTGGAATAATCCTCTTGCTGCATCTCTTGTGTACTGCTATGCAGTTTATCTTACTTTGACAAACTTAACTTTGGAGAAGTCAAGCAATAATCTTGTACATGAGACACAAACATTTACATATTTGATCAAATATTCCCCACTCAGAAAGTTATAGTTTTTATTATTGTGCAATGATGAAATTGTACAAATGTTTGTATGTTTGTACAAAGAGTGGACTGGTAGTGATACAGGAAATGACCATACATTGCTTATGCATCTTAGCTGCCTCTGTTGACATGTAAAGTCAAATTAACCTGAAAATTGAAAGATTGAATCTGACCCACCTTTTTCATTTGAGCCTTGAAAGAAAACTTAGAATCAATCAGAACGCTCATGTATTTGCAGTATGATAAAACTTATAGCGTCTCCCTGGATATAAACACATCTGGTTCTACACTAGAACTGTGTCTTTGTGAAAAATATTAATACTGTTGTAGAAAGATTGTTGCATCTTCAGCATTGCTTTAACCATGTTATTAGATCAACCAGATGAGTGTGTCAGTTCATGATCACCTTGTGTCATAGTTACTGTATACATAAATTGTCTCATCTGCATACATTTGAATGTTGGTCAGGACATACAGATGGCAAATCTTTAATATATAATGTAAATAGCAATGGGCCCAGGATAGATCTTTCTGGGACACGTGTGAACAGATAGAAAGCAGCTTATTGATGATTCAGTACTCGGACTGAGAGATTTACAAGGTATGATTCTATTCATTGAAGTGCATCTGAAGAAAAAGGTACATAACTTAGACATGGGAATTCTTTAATAAACCATGCTAAATGCTTTTGTGAGGTCAAGAAACACAACTACGACAACAGCAACTTTATCCAATACCTTTTTTTGCAGTGAAAAAAACAATTGGCTACCAGTGGAATAATTGGCTCTGAAGCCTAATTGCATTAGGTGCAGGGAAAATGAGCTAGGATTCAGATGGCAGATGATACTCCAGTTACCAGTTTTTCTGCAACCTTTGACCTTATCATATAAGTAGTATAGTGATAGGCCTGTAATTATCTCCACTTTTAAATATTGGGACAACAGCTGACTTCCAAACACTGCCCCGAAAAAAATCACAAGGTTAGTAATTGTAGTAATAGGACTGGTTAGTTTTGTGCTAAGCTCTTTAAGCATAACTGCATCCATACCAAAAAAGCTCTGAATGGTTTTAGAGATCTGGTC